CTCTTCTCTGAGAGAGCCTGGGATCAGTGAAACCCCAATAAAAATGTACATATCCAGTGCCCAAAGTTTGGTTTCTATATTCCATTTCCCCCCAGAAAAGAATCAGGGTTTCTAAAGCAATAGCTTATTACAAAGCTGGGCCAATAAAAGTGTAATATAAGCTAGAATATTCTGTGCCATTAACTAAGGAAGTACCCAAAGAATATGGGGACAAATCAAGAAGATATCAAAGCCAACTCAAAGGGCTCTTGCTGAGTAAATCTATAACAATTTGATCATAGTAAATTGTGATAATAATGAACTATAACCCATCAAAGAAAATAGGAATTCCGATGAGTCTATAATGACATAAGTAAATGAATACATAAATGAGGAGAAAGATAGCTTTTCCTTATAGTAAAATGGCAATTCATTAATATAGAAGGAAAGACAAAATTAGAAAATCACCATTTGGCAACTATCAAAGCAAAAATTAATTTAGCCAAGAACCATCAATGGATACTAAAACTAGTGGGTGAAAATTTGATGAGAATTATTTATTTATATGGTTTCAAAGTATCTATTAACAAAATAACTACCAATTACAAAGAGAAAAAAGTAAATTTACAATAGAGAAACCTGGCAGACACCATTTAATTAAGTAATCCAAGTTAACATCACTAGTAATAGGACAAATTTAAATTATGTACCACCTGAGAGGAAGCAGTGAGAACACAGCCTCACTTGTGTGATATTTGAGCTAAAAATGCATAACCTGAATTTATCTATGAGGGAACATCAAACAAATCCAAATTGAGGAACATTCTACAAAAGAGTCAAAAGAGTCAAGGTCATGAAAGTCAAGGAAAGACTGAAGAAAATTAAAGAGACATGGCAAAGAACAATATGGTGTGATCCTGGATCCTTTCCTATAAAAAAACATAATTAATACAATTGGTGAAATATGAATGGGTCTGGGCATTAATTGGAATTAATTTAAGAATATCCCTTTCTTATCTTAACGTTTTCACTGTCATTTATATAGAAGAATACCCTTGTCTTTAAGAAATATACACTAAAGTATGTGGGGGTCACAGAGCCACATATCAGCAACTTTTTCTCAAACGGCTCAGGAAAAACTTATCTGACCTATTCTTGCAACAACCATGTAAGTTTTAAATGATTCATTTTTTAAAAAAGAAAAGAAAGGGAAAAAAGAGAAATATGCATAAGATAATGTTGCTCACCTA